TCAGTGGGGTTTTTAAAAGTTAATGTACACCCCCGATGACTTTTCTAAAGGGGCCACGTGGTCCCAAAACCCTGGGAAGTCATGTCTACAGGCTAAAAACACTGCATTCTCCAAGAATGTGGTTAGTGCAGGACAAGTTGAACACAAGCCCTGGATATTTAGTCACTAAAGGTCCACACTGCATGGGTTGATGTGGGCCCTAAGTCAGGGTGGCACAGTCACAAGACAAGTAGACTTTCTGTCCCAGAAGACAAAGACTGATGGTTGCAGAGAGCAGGGCAAATGATAAACACATTAACTCAAGGACAAGGCGATGAGCAGGTAGAGAACCAAGATTTGTAACAGTAGCTAACACTGGCCAAATTGAACTTAATCTTGGTTTGATATCATCTCTTTATTGATTCATTTTCTCATTAATATTACTGAACCTTTATGGGGACACAGGTGAACCAGACAGATAGAATTCTCTGTCCTCAGGAAGCTTCCATCTAGTGTCAAAAGGCAAAAGGGTAAAATAGTGAGCATGTCTGCTGACGGTAAGTGTTACAGAGGAAAATAAAGCGCTGAAGGGAGATGAGGATCAGACGCTGGAAGAGGGGTAAGTCACTTCTCCAGAGATGCAAACATCTGGGCTCAAATTTTAAAATGACCCCTTCAAAACAGATCATCACCTCCTCTCCAAAGATTTCTACAATAATTACATTAATGGGGTCCCAGCAGAATCACAGCGTTCAGAAAATGAACCAAGAATGTTATGGACAGAAAGGGTCCGCTTAGGAAGGGACAAATTGAAGATCCAATAATAGCTACCACTTCTCCGGATGCTGCTATGCACTATTCTCAGTCCCTGATACACCAGTATCCTCATTTCATCCTCACATTGAACTAATGAGAAGGGCAAGAGTAACATCATATTCATCATTAAGAGATGAGAAAACAGAAGCCCAGAGCAATTAAGGAACTGGCCCAAGGTGAACGTGCTAAACGTTGAAGTCAGAATTTGACTTGGGGCCTACACTGCTCTTACTTTCCATATAAATGTTCACTGGTGGCCTGAGATTTTCTTTTGCCAACACTCCTACCTTATCCTATTCAAGATTTGCCTTTCAATGTTTTTTACTGAATTCTTACAATCACCAAGGGACAAAAAAAAGAAATGGAGGCTGGTTGCATACCTGCAAGTAACAAAAACTGCACAGCAATGAAGACCCTCAAATTTTAATACCACTTCCTAGATGCAATTAGAAATTATTCCCTCAAATACTTGACATTATAAGCAAATCCAAAGTAGTTCCATTTTGGTTTGAGACTAAAATTAGCCTTAGGGTAAATGGGAGTTCACATAGCCAATTTCTTAGTAGGTACAGACACCTCAAACTGAGTACAATGTGACCAGAACTCTTGGTCGTACCCCATCCTACTCACAAGCATGTTCCTCCACTGTGACCCTCAGTTCCAAAAAGGCCCTAAATGCGGTAACCTCCACCTTCCAGCCTCTCAGGCCTATACGCTCAAGAGCTCTCCTGGACCCCGCTTTCTCTCACCTCCTCATCCAATCCATCAGCAATTTCGACCCTCCCCACTCCAAATAGGTCTCTTTTCTCCATTTCCCTATCAGATCACCATGGTGGGCTCCTAACTGGTATCTCTGCTTCCCAATCAGGCCCCTAGAAAATCTCATCTCCACACAGCAGTAGCCTGAGAGAACTTTTTAAAGCATAAAGCAGACCATGTCTCCTCCCTGCCTAACATCCTTCTGAAACAGTGTTAAAATTCTTCCCCCACCTACAAGGCACTATGTGATGGGGCAGTGGCCTCGTTCCTCAAGCTCTTCACTCTCCCCAGTTTCACTCCAGACAAAAAACAAAAGATGGATGAATGGACAGTGTCCTCAGTTAAAATGTGAATTTCAGGCCCTGGCCAGGCAGCTAGTTGGTTAGAGCGTGTTCTCCTACACCAAGGGGGCGGTTCGATCCCTGGGCAGGGCACAAACAAGAAGCAACCAATGAATGCATGAATAAGTAGAACAAGTTAATGGTCGTTTCTCTCTCCCTCTCTAAAACTAATCAGTAAATAAATAATTTCATGTGAATTTCAGTACAGACATTAGATCCACACAAAATTATTTCCACGTTTACCTTTATTTTATCATTCGTTAAATCTTTTCAACCCTTCATAGCCCCTGCTACTTTCTGAAAATTTCTGTTCAGTTGTTTAGATGCATGAGATGCACTCTTTAACACTATCCTGGAATCTACACCATGCTATTATATCTTAAGTATTTACTGTAACTATAATAATACATTACAGAAAATCCTCAGTGTATATTTTGCCCATGCTCTGATTAGTTCAGCCAATGAGTGGGAGCCACGTGTCCTGGACATACTCTCCTGAGCTGCGTGTCTCCAACAGTGGGGCGGTCTCTCTCCTGTGACGTCGATGGCATTTATTTTGTGTTCTGGTCCAGACTGCCTCCCTAATGGCATGGTGATGGGGCTGAGGGTCCTACAAGTAAATTAAGGCAGAATATGATACTGGATGTTAAAATGTAAATTTTGCAGCAACTTGAGGACACGGGAGAGGACATCAGATTAAAACCTGCTAGGGCGCAATGGGTGTGAAGGGCATTATCAAACCATGGAAGACTCGCCAAGGACTTTGTGGCTGGAGACTGTCATTGACTCCAGGCAATCTGAAACCAACCGTCAAAGGAAGATGCCACAAGGCCCTCAATGCAAGTAACCCAAAGCAGTGAGCCCACCTATTTGTACCAAGGCATTTCCCTGGACTAGGAAAGTGTGGGCTCCTTCTATTTAATTGAGTCTCCTCCACTACTTCAGGAGAAGATGCCCATGTATGTGTTCATTCCCTGGAGTAGCTCTGGCCTCTAGAACTGTGCCTGGCACAAAGCAGATCCTCAGTAAAATAGTCTCTAAACAAATAGAGTCATAAACAAAAAATAAATGTTCTAGGTTTCCTCTCTTAATCCTCCCCTCTTTCCCTTTTCACAGATCCAGCGCTGCCTTTATAAGACCCCTTGAGGAGGCAGAAGCGTGCAATCACAGAGCCACCATAAATCTCCAGATCACTAATGCACCCTCGGCCCCTGCTCAGAGAACACAGATGGGGGAGACATAACCCCAACACTGAGATACTAACCATCAGAAAGAGCCAGTGCTTTTGGAGTTGGTGGTAGACTTAGAAAATGGTGAGTCTGCTGTGGTTAAGAACAACGAACAATGGCAGGTAGCTATAAATTGCAGTAACCAACTCAGCTGAGACCTCAGTAGTGTACCCGCGACCACATTTCAGCTGTGTAGCTTGCAATCATGTAGGTATATTTTTTTAATTTTGCCTCTTATCAGTCTTGCCTCCACCTAAATACCCTAGTGGATTTCAAATTACACAAAAGCATGAGTTACTCCAACTCCTCCTAAAGCCACTCCAAAGAATAAATCCTTTGATATACATTGCAGGTAAAATATAGTCCCCAAGTAAAATAACTGCAATCCAGGGTAAAAGCTCTGTTGCCTTCATAAGCTACTTGAAAAAAAAAAAAAAAAGCATTAAAAGTGAATGCCCAACACACAAACAATATGCTGTCACCAACAAGGCACCTTGAAGTGCCATCAAGAAGACACAATTCAGAAGCACAAGACAAAATCAAATATAGTCATCTTATCTCTCTGGTCCTAGGCACTCTATTATTTTTGGCTTTCAAGAATTAAAGGGGAAATGGGAGAGGCCAGAGCACATACTGGGGCTATTTTGAGAAATAAAAAGAATTAAAAGTTAAAGTGCAGCTTCCACAACATAGCAGATCTCCAAGGAAACCCAGTGACTGGGAAAGTTCTGTCTATAGTATCAATATAGAAACAATTCAGTTTCCAAACTTAGGAAGTCATCTTCTTTCTAGTTGAATTGCACATAAGTAACTGCCAGATAGGTTTCAGCTGGAAGCAATCTTAACATTTGCAAACCATCTACAGGGAGATTTGACCCAGTAATCTAGTCTAACCAGCAGAGAAGAGCAGCGCCCAGGGTGTGATTCAAAATTCACAACCATCCCTAGGCACCACAAATTCTAAGATACAAGGGCTATGAAGGTCAGGACAAAAGATCTCATTAACCACCTCTCCAAAAAGCCCCATTCTCCAGGTATGGCCACTTGCCACTGGCTTGCTTGGTTAAAACGATGTAAACAGCAGTATCACACCTGATCCTTTCCAGAATTCCTCTCTACCCTGACTACTGGGGTCCCTACACTACACACACCCCCAGGGTGCTGGGAGCCCCTTCCCTTGACATTCCCACCAGGGCACGTGTCCATAAGTAGACTTCACAACTGTGAGGGTAGTGAGCAGGGAACTTCAAAAGGCACCTAAAGGGGAAATTTTTTATTATTATTAATAAAACAGCACACTGTCCATTTGAAAGGGGAGAGGTCTTCTTGTTAAAACTAAACTTCCGTTGCAGAAACTGGAGGTTCCAAGCCACCAACTGGGCAGAGTAGCACGCGTCCTGGAAGGCGCCCAGGGTTAAGTGGCAGGTTTTTGTTGGTGGTGGTAGTTTTTAAACACTAAAGTTTTAAATGAACTAAGTTATGAAGGGAATTGCTGTGATCGGACCAGATGTGTTAGCGCTCTTCATCCTGGCATAAAGCACTCCTTTTCTTCAATCCTTCTTCAGGAGTGCGGGAAACCGCTAGCAGGCAGGGCCCGGGACCAGCGCGCTGCGCCTGACACTCAGTTCCTGCAGGTGCCAGTACAGAAGAAAACCAGGGCTCTCACCTCCCTCCCTGCCACTGCGGTACAGCCCTGGGGTGGGGTCACGGCGCGCCCCATAGTGGGCACCCCACCTGGAAAGGAGCAGGGACGCAGGAAGGACACCCAAGCGGAGACAGCACCCCGCTCGCTGGTGGTACGATCGCGCACGCACACACACACACTGAGCAGCGCGCAGGGAGGGGCGCTCAGTGGCGCGGGCGGCGGGCACGTTACCTGTTCTGCCAGCCCTGGAGGAGGTTGGTGTATTTGCTGAGCACGCCCTCGAGCGCCGGCTCCCTCCTGCGGCCGCCTCCCCCAGACGGGCTAGCGGCCACCGAGCCTGGGCTGCTGCGGCTGCCCCCGCCAACGAGCCCTGCTACCGCCGACCGGCTGGAGACCGCCCGGCCCGCCAGGGAGCAGGAGGGCGAGGAGCCCGCGGAGGTGGCGCGGCTGCTGCTGCGGCTGCTGCTATTGCTGCCCCCGCCGCCGTCTGCGCCCTGGGCCGCCCTCTCCATGGTCCGTGCGCGCCCAGGACCCGGGTGCTCGCCGCGGTGGCGGCCCCGGCGCTGGGGCTCCTAACGCGGTGGCGGCGGCTGCTGCTGTTACAGCACCGGGCGCCCGGGCCGCGCGTGGCTGCTCCAAATCCCCTGGAAATGCCTGACTCATACAGGAGGAAGAGGAGGAGGAGGCAGGCGAAGGAGAGCTGGGAAGGAAGCCAACGGGGCTGGATGCAGCTGCGGCCGCCCCTCCTCCCACAGCGGCCCGGGCCCCGGCCCCTCCTTCCGCACTAGTTTCCCGGGCAAGTTCGGAACGGGTGGCCGGTTCGGCGAGCCCTTCTCGAGTTCCTCCTGCTCTTCTTTTGAGCCCTAGTGGCCGCTCAAGCCAGGGGCTGGGGGCGCTCCCGGCGCAGATCCGCAGGGTAGGCACGCCCTTTTCACCCCTGGCGCTTCTTCTGCCGCCCCCTCTCGGAACCACAGAGGTGAAAGGGAATCTCTGCGCGTCACTCCCCACCCCCAACCCACTCCGGGACCTGGAGTGAACAGCGGCCCCACCCACCCTGTCCACCCGGATATGGACCCGCCCGGCCTAAGCTAGGTACGAACGCACACTCCCCCTGCCTTCCGCACCAAGCCTGGGCCAGACACGCGTACACTGTAACTTGGAAATGAGCCTCCCTGGTGGAGCAAAGTAACAGGGCAGAAGATCGTCCAGATCTCCTGCGTGTCCAGTAGGGGACGGGAGGGCAGGTGATTCTCACAGGTAAGCTTTCCAGGAGCATTTTCATACTGCGGGGCTCAACGGATACCAGGGCCGGTGCCGGAGTAAGGCACGAAAACGCTAAGTCCTGCAAATGCCTCCTTAAATTGAGGGGCCTAGCCACCTCACTTGCCCACCATAATCCCGACCCTGATGGACACACATAAACGTGGTAAATCAGCACGTACATCCAACACCAAACAGCTGGGAACCGGAGACTGTAAACCGGGCGGAGACTGCACTGAAATCAGCAGATATTTACAAACATAGTGAAACATTCTGTGTTGGTTGTAATTTCAGCCCCGCCCCCACCGCAACGAAATTTCTAAATTTAAAATTGTTGCTCCTTGGCAAAAGTAGATGGGTCGCCCTCTCTCCACCTCACTAATAATTTTTGTGAATATGAATACCTGATGCAATCTGAAAGTTTCTAAAATTACCTAGAAACTAGCTTTGAGGAGCTCAGACACACCACACCCACACAAGAAAAGGAAAACAAAGGGTGATTGATAGGTGATCGCTATTCAAAGGATCTACAAACTCATAAAGCAGATAAATAATTCAACAGGTTAAAAAATTACTAAATGGAATAGACTGAGCTCTCATGGGGGCAATTCGCCAAGCCTGACCCCTTTGTAACTTCAGATCCTTCAAGGAGACATTCAAAGGTAGTTGAGCTCTAGAAATTTTTGTGGAGAAGCTTTTGGGACTGATGAGAAGTGGATGTACGTCAGAATAAATTACAATTCCAGGTGCCTACACAGTGTATAAAAGTTCCCCCGAAGACACTGCGTGATAGAAATAACCAACTTTAGAACCAGAGAGAGCTGAGTTCATATATCCTTTTTTTTTTTTTTAAAGATTTTACCCATTTATTTCTACAGAGAGGGGAAGGGAGGGAGAAAAGGAGGGAGAAAAACAGCAATTTGTGGTTTCCTCTCCCACACCCCCAACTGGAGACATGGCCCACAACCCAGGCATGTGCCCCAATTGGCAATTGAACTGGCGACCCTCTGGCTCGCAGGCCTGCACTTAATCCACTGAGCCACACCAGCTAGGGCTGAGTTCACATCTTTGACCTTAGTTTTCTGACCTGCAAAATGTAACTAATGATACTACTGACTCTGATGAACTATGTGAAAATATTTATTTGTTCAAAATATTTACCGCCTCTTCCTATGACAGAAGTGTCCTCCCTCCATACTGACCTCAGATTTGGTCATGGAATTGCTCTGGCCAGTAGAATGAGAACAGATGTAATATTTGCCACTTGCGGACATAAGCTTTAAGAGCCATCATGTGGTTCCACCAGCTTTCTCTTTTCCTTCTGCAAGGTGAGCAGCACGTTCCACGTAAAGGCTCTCCTTCCAGTTTGGGTCCTGGGATGAAAAGACATTTGGAATACAGCAGAGCCAAAGCCAGTTAGCGTTAGCTGTGCCACACGTGCAAAATATTTGTTGTAAGTCGCTTCAATTTTAGGGATCATTTTATACTGCAGCATAACTTGGCCTAAACTACCTGATACACTGAGCAGCCTGGGGGTGTTCACGAAGTCCTTCACTGAGAAAGACGGAGGAGGTGAACTATAAATGGCAGTCACGTGGGCCAAAGCAACGCCCCTTTTGATGGGAGATGGCCAGCCGGCCTCTCCTAGCTCCTGCTAAAGGGGAAATGCCATCATTTTATTTCATACTATCTAACCTCTACCACCATTACTCCATCCTGCCCAGCCTACCTGTGACTGCGCGAGCTAGGGCAGCAAATTCTCATTCTGGACTAAAAAACTGAAACCCCTGACAAAGACAGTCCAGTTGAAGGGGGAAGGAGCTAAGCTGAAAAGAATCACCAAGGCCAATGTCTTCGTCTGTTCAGGCTGCTATAACAAAATACCACAACTAGTTAGCTCAAAAACACAGAAATCTCTTACTCACATTTCTGGAGGCTGGAAGTCTGAGGTCAGGGAGCCAGCGTGGTCAGGTTCTGGTGAGAGCTCTCTTCCGGGTCCCAGGCTTCTCATTGTGTCCTCATGTGGCAGAAGGGCGAGGGAGCTTTGTGGGGAACCCTTTTATCGAAAAAGAGCACTGATTCCATTCCTGAGGACTCCACCCTCATAACCTAAGCACTTCCTAAAGGCCCCACTTCCTAACGCCATCACATTGGGCATTAGGATACATACATAGAAACTTCGGGGGCACACAGATCTTCAAACCATAGCAACCAGAATGGGTCAAGAGTAAGCCATCTTTGTGGAATCAAAAATGGCCGAGGAGGTTAAGTAAGCAAGAGGCAAGTAGAGAGAAATGGAAGAGAGATGAAGTATATGCTGTTCCTTCTGCCAACAACTCTCCTTCCTGCTCGCTTCCCCGTTTTGTGCTTCTCATCTGTGGAGTTTTGAATTAAAAGTCGCTTTGTCCCAAAAGCTTTCCTTGACCTACTCTAGTAGAGCAAACTGGGAAGAGATACCTGCAGATTTATCTTTGGAAAAGAAAATGTCTTCGTGTGAGAAAAACAAATTGAGAACAAAAGGCATAAATTGGCATAATTATTTGGAATACAAATGATAGAAAATATTTGCAAAACATGTATACCCAAGAAAAGGACTCATTTCCTCAATTTGTCCATATTGCATAAATCATTAAGAAAAATGTAAATGTAGACAGAATGACTGGAGAGAAACTGATTTAAAGAAATGTTGAGCAATCTCTCCCAAATCCTGGCGGAGCCAAGATCTGAAATCAGTCAGTCTCTCTACTGAGCCTGAGTTCTGAGCCACCGCGGTATAACACTTGCCTCATAGTGGGTCCAGTCACATCCTTTCTACTTAATGAAACCACTAGAAGTGCAGCTTGGTGCCCGGAATTCCATTTCATGCTGTATTTTTTGTTCATGTAGGAACCGGCTCTCCCACCACTATCCTGAAGGAGGCAGGGCAGGAACATGGGCCCCTGGCACGAGCCACCGGGCCAGGGTGCGATAATTCTCAATAAGTGTTTATTGTTTGATAAATGACCCCCAATTTTGCTGAGGAAGAAACAGAAACCCAGAAAGGAGAAGCCAGCACTAAACCTGAACCAAGGTCTTCTGACTCCAAGTTCAGTGTTGTTGCTCACATGGCCTGCTGCCTCCGCTTCAGGTGTGCTGTGTTTATGCAACTTTAGCGTCCGGTGGGAAGGTGAAAACACCAGAGTATGGATGTCTGTCAGCCTGTGAGCAGGCGGCTCAATAAGGAATAAGACCCCAAGCGTTACATCCAGGGAAATCAAAGGTCATGTGTATCTTTGCAGTACAGCTGGATATACATTATGTTAACATTTTCCAAAATGAAATTATGTAATTATTAAAATTATTAAAACAGGTGTTCATTTTTAAAGATTCACATACACAAAGGTACAATGTAGAAGGTAAAAAGAAAAAAAAAGTCTATAACATCTCCCCAGGGGAAACCACTATTAATAATTTATATATGTCCTTCCAGATACTTTTCTATGCAGAAATATAGTTTTATATTATCTTATTCAAAAGCAGATTCATGTTATAAAATATATAATGATTCCTGTTTGTAATTTTTTTTATCCTCACCCAAGGACATTTTTGTTCATTGCTTTTAGAGAGAGGAAGAGAGAGAGAGAAACATCCATGTGAGAAACATTGATTGGTTGCCTCTCCTACACACCCGGACCAGGGATAATTTGCACCCATCTGGGGGACCGAACCCACAACCTAGTTATGTACCCTGATGAGGAATTGAACCCTCAACCTTTTGGTTATGGGATGACGCTCCAACCAACTGAGCCCCACTGGCCAGGGCAATTCATAATGATTTCTAACACGCTTCATTGATTGAAGTATACAGTACGGACAGTTCCCTTTAGGGCTGTATTACCATTTGTAAGTTTCAGCATATTCCGCCATATACATGCACCCCGATTTAATCATTCCACTACTGCTGCACACTACAGTGTTTTCAACTTTTGCTATAATGAAAAAAAGGTTCTTTAAATAACTTTGTACATTAATTAATTGATTTCCTTAGTATAAGCTACTGGGTCAAACTGCACATATATGTTGCAACTATGGCTTGTGTTACAAAATTACTCCCAGAAAGCCTGGATTAATTTGGTCCTGCCTGGGTCTTCTCACGTGTTTGACCATTGGCTGGATGGCTTAGGTTGGCCTTAGCTGGAGCAACTGGCATGTCTCTCATCCACAGGGTCTCTCATCTTAAAGCAGCCTGGCCTGGGCTTGTCCTCATGGCCCT